AACTGAGCTCCCCGGCCAGGGCTCCGAAGGCCCATTCTGCTGGGGTTTCTGGGGAGGAGCTGTGCGTCCTCCTTGGGAAAGACTTGGTGCTGGCCCACGTTTTGCAGCTACGCGAGCTGTTTCTCACGGTGACTAAAGCAGGCAGCACTCCTGGGATCCCCGCTGCTGGGCATCCACAAGTTCTCTCTTTACCTAAGACAGTCTCTGGTCACTTGGTCCTGAGAACATTCCTCACTAATCAGGAGATGTATGCCACACACAGCATCTCCGCTGCACTGCTATAATTACTCGCCTTTCTTGGCACAGAATCATTTCCTCAGAAAGCTAACTAACAATGTTACATTTTGTTTCTCAGCAAATTCGCTGCCCTTTGGAGGCTAATTTTCCAATCTTTGGCATGGATGAACATTCCACGCCCGGGTCCCCAATTTCACATTCCGCAGTAATTACAACACCCACCACAAAGCATCAGGCCACCTGGTCCCACAGAAAGAAAAAAAAAGTAAAATGTTATAATAATAACAGGCTTTAAAAGATAAGCAGTTCGAAAATATTTTTACTGACCAAAGTTTTACCCAATTTCAGTGAATTAAGCACTCTTTGCTTCTGCAATTTTATCTATTTTTCTCTGGAACTCCAGCTGAAACAACAATGAAATATAAACCACAGAAACTGCTGTATATTCGATGGGTCTAGGAGGGAGTCGCAGCCGAAATCACAAACTCCAACCAGAAATTTGGGTGGCAGCGGGGAAGGGACTAGAAGTTATAAAATAGTCATGGGATGTAAGATACAGCATAAGGAATACAGTCAGTAATATTGTACTAAGTGTGTATGGTGCCATTTGGGTACTGGAAATTTCAGTCAAGTTGACATTTTAGTATAAAAGAAATAAACTCATGAATATGCAATAAATCAAGAAAGCGTCCAAGAGCCTGTCTTAAAAATGTGATTATGAAATGAAAAGAAGGGGAAAAAAAGATGCATCAAAATTAGGACCTCAGTAATTGTGGGGAAGCCATAGTTGGAAAGCACTGGGAGTGGAAAAAAAAAAGAAAGAAAGAATAAATCCACTAAAATATAAGACTAAGATGTGAAGGAAATGGAAAAATTAGTCATGAAAATGAATGTAAGTGGGAGAACCAAAAAGTAAAGGTTAAACCCAACAAAACCAGGAAGTAATGAGAGGAGGGTGTTGGAGGCGCACAGTAGGACCACACTTCACAGTTTCTATATTGAGTGCATGCACGGAGCATGCTTAGGACAATGAAATGAGAGTTGCAGTGACTCGCATGATCTTTAGGCAGAAGCTGTAAGGCATTGGCTCCAACTTGCCAGATCTCTTCCTCTGTCTTCTAGGAGCTGCTGCTCTAAGGGGTTTATCAGATGTCCACCCCCTTCCAGAATCCTAGGGGTGCTTTCCAGGACCGAGCTCCATAAAAGTGCCCCGAAACTTCCAAATCCCCGCCAAGCCATGTACCTCTTCCATGTTCTCGGGGGTCAGCTAGGCTTGCACCTTCTCAGCCACAGCTTCTGGGAAAACACGCATCTCACCCAACCCATCGACTCCCAGATCCTCACTGCAGGGCCTGGCCTTGAGTTTTTGTGGGTTCACCACCCATCTTCTCCCTCACGGATGTTCCAGCAAAGGCCTCGCTGGCCATCAGAAGGTGGTCTTCACACGTTCACATGATGTCATCCATGTAATGGGCTCACGTTACTGATGTGGGGGAGGAAGGACAGTTCTTGGGCTCCCACCCATGACATGTTGTTGTCCATTGTTGTCCTCCCCAGTGAAGGCAGGCTGATGGTAGTTATCAGTAGTTACCTGTCTTTCCCAGAGATTTCTCACGAATATCCTTGAAAATGAAGCACTTTTTGCAGGAACACTTGTATTAATTACTATATTAATAATGTATAAATTACTTAGTGTAATAATCTATATGTAATTAACAAAAATAATATATCTATTGCAAATAATATGTCTATTGCTAGAACTAAAGAAAGTTCTAGCATCACGTCTCATCTGGCAATGCTTCCCATGGAATTTAACACATCAAGTAAGCCTGTAAGTTTACTATCTCCAATTTAAGACAGGGCACGTCTTTTGAGATGGTCCCGGGGACCCTCGTGAAAATCCCAAAATTAGTTCAAGGTCAACTAGGCTTCATTTCAAATTTGATTTGGGGGGAAGTTTGTAAAATTTATCAAAAGGTAAAAAGCACTCGATTAAATGAGATCATAGGTCACTGTGAGACAACACTTAGTTATTCATTTAACCAAAGTCACAATTAAAGAAATCAAAGCCAAATACCAGGGAATCGTATATTTGTAAAAAACAAACAAAGAAAACCCACACACACAACATGGCCCTTTTAACGGAGAAGGACCTATTTTCTTAAACAATCAAAGACCCAGTAAAGACTACGAGACGTACGGGAAGTCGTTTTCATTAAACACAGAATCCTTGTTTTCCAGCCAGATTACGCAAAAGGTAAACATAACCCTTTCACAATCTTACCAAGAACGGACCAGCAGCCCAAGAAAACTCTGTTTTATCAGCACATGAGAGGGAGTCAAGTTTCAGGTTTCCATAAATAATGCTATTGATATTAAGGCTTATTTTTAAAGACACAGAGGACTTTTTTTACAAAATAATTTTGGCAGTGCCCTTCCAAAGTTGGAAAACATCACGTATACACCACGTGTAGCCACAGACACGCGTAACATGCAGACACAACAGAGACCCCGTCGCTTTCGTTCCAAACTTTAGCCAGGAATCAGGTAGCCACTCACATAGCCGATGCTTCTTGCTAATCTGTGTGGAGAAGACTTTTCAGATTTGTGTATTTGCCCTTGACCAATGATCCTATGCAGGGTTGGGTCCAGATCTGAGGGCAAGGCATCTTCTGTAGCAGTCTGTAAAAACAGAATTTTTTAAAAAGCAAAAATGAAAGCTTTTCACGCCCTCCCCCCTTATTTTTTTCTTCAGTCCCTGAAGGCAAAGTCTTCATTCTCTCGGGAGGTCTTTACACACGTCCAAACGATGAAAAGGTTTACCACTTCAAGGGACAGAACAAAAAGAGTGGGTGTGCTCTCCTAGGAATTTGGGGGCACATGTCTCTATTATCAGAATTCTAGGGCGATTGCTCTTTAACATTTTCCTTTATTTTCGGGGTGGGACTGCCTGGGGACTTGTTCATGGCATTGACCAACGCTAAGAGTTCCCTCTGTTCGGAGCAAAGATGGCTGGCAATACACAGAGTCAGAAGGGTGGTGAGCCTGGTGTTTGCACGTCCAACTGTCTGGAAGCCAGACCATCTGGGTTCTAATCTCCTGTCACTTGTGTGAAAGGGGAATATCAGAGGAGCTTACAAGGTTTATGAGGGCATGGGCAAATGTTATGTTCCATGCAGCCCCTGACACATGAACATTAATGATTAATCAGCAGTTATTGCAAGATCGGTAGAGCTTGGAAGGTTGAGGCAATCTCCGTGCAGAGGCAAACAAGAGATTTGCTCACAGATTCGCTCTGCAGCCTTGAGCGGACTCCCAATATGCAGTTAGGTCGGTGTGGCGCCCGGGGTGAATGTCTAGGAACTCAGGAAAGGACTGTAGGGGAGGCAGCTGGGGCAGGAAAGGGAGGCCACCCATCGCCATCTCCACAAGCTTCCTAAGTTTCCAGAATGTTCTCCAGTGGGGCCCAGGAAGGGGCAGAGGAGATGGCAGGTGGTGTCTCTTCTCCTTGAGGAGGTTGGGTTACCTGAAGAGCTTACAGTCTGGTTCTAGAAAAGCGCCCAACACAACAAGGGCAGGAAATGAGATCGGAGGCCCCTGTGCGTTTTCATTCTTTTCTTCTGGGCCAGTTATTAAATCAGAGGATGCAGCAGCGTCCCCTCGCAGGGGCCTCTAGAATGTGTAGCTTCTCCGCGTAAGGGAGGGTGTGTTGAAATAAAACTGAAAAAATGGCCTTTCCCTTCGTCCACGCATATGTAGGGCAACCGGTACATTGTGTTTCGTGTGAGCCAGGAGGAAAGATAACAATTCCCTGGTCCTTTTCTTACTGGTTTCAGAGAGGAACGGAGAGAGAAATGAGACTAGGTTCTAGTCAAAATAGAACCTAGGACCCGGCGGGCATGGCTCGGTGGTTGAGTATCGACCTCTGAACCAGGAGGTCAGGGTTCGATTCCCAGTCAGGGCACATGCCCAGGTTGCAGGCTGGATCCCCAGTGTGGGGCGTGCAGGAGGCAGCCGATCCATGATTCTCTCTCATCCTTGATGTTTCCATCTCTCTCTCCCTCTCCCTTCCTCTCTGAAATCAATAAAAATAGTTTTTAGAAAAATATTTGTCACTCAGATGACAAGTCCTTAAAAATAAATAAATAAACCAACACAAAGGCATCAGTAACATTATTTGATTTCTAGGAAGCACATAAACTGGCCAATTGAGTCGATGTTCTTCGAGAACAGGGTAGAGGGCACCTTTTGAGGGTTGGGGGGAGAGGAGAGGCAAGAGCTTGAGGGGAAGGGAGGACTGGGGCGTCCTGGGAGAAAGTGCTGCTCAGTGCCTTGACCCGGGGGCTGGCTACCGGGCCTTGTTCACCTTCCCAACAGTCAGCAAACCACTCGCTTATCTTCTCTTCCTGCCGATTGTCTCAATACAGGGTAAAGAAATCAGCACTCCCATTTCTTGCTTTCTGCACTCATTTATGCCTCAGGAGCTTGAACCTGTTGCTTCACACACCCTGTGAACAAGCCTGCAGGGCACTGAGGTCAGGCCTCGCAGGAAAAGCAGGTCCCCCCAGTCCACCAGCCCCTGCATTCTTGGCAAAGCTGATCCCTCCCCTCCCCACTTCAAAAGGATTTTTCAAAGAGCGCCTGTTATTCCATCTCCTGAGGTTTCCCACAATGGACCTGCTTTGGGTGTGAGTCAGGAGAGGGTTTCAGAGTCCAGGGGCCATCAGTTAAGCGCCGCACATTCCCAGAACCCCAAACAGTTTCCCGCAGGGAAGGGGCATGGCTTCTAAAAGCCCAGCCAGCCCAGGTCACAGCGCTCCCATTCAGTGGGAGCCAGGAGAGGGCTTGCTCTCCCTCCCCTAGGCCAGGGCTGCTGATGGGCGGGGCGTCCGGCCATCTCCCTGTTCCCCAAGCTGCGCTTGAACTTCCTCCTGGAGCCAGCACTTCCCTGCACTCAGCACAACTTTCCAGGCAGAGGACAACCAGGAGAGCTAGTGAGCATCGTCAGCTGCTCCATGCACCCCGGACAGGCCCCCCCAAAATGAGGCTCCCCGGGAAGATTCTGTGGCTCATGTTATGGTCTGTGTGTGTAGCACAAGGTAAGAGTAAGAATAAAAGGCTTTTTTTTTCCTACGACTATACTATCAAGCACTTGCTAACAGTCTTGTGGCTGTGGCAGTAAGAATGTGCTCTAGAAAAGGCGGTTTGTTCCAGCCGTGTGACTTAGTGTTTGAGTGGCTTTTGACACCGAAGTTTAAAGCATCTACGTGGCTTACTGGCACGGCATTCGGATTCTTCAGAGTAAGTGTATTTCATGGAAGTTTTCAGAAAATATTTTTTGGAACTGTCTTTGAAAATTGTAGTATGTGTGGGTCACTTCCATTTGTAATTTTCATAAAGTATGATTTCCTTTTTTGCTTTCAGTTTTCACTATAATGCTCTGTGTCACGGTATTAAGCAGTATGTGAATATATGTAGAAGCAGAATAGAAATTAGCAAAAGCCTTCAAATTATATAATGATTGGATTTATTTCAGATATAGTATTAGCTCTTCCTGAAGAAATATTCATTTATGACTTAGAACTGATGTTGCCATGGTCTTATAGATGACCATTACTTGTATCATTAGAATGAAAATATGATGTAAATTTGGAAAATAAAAAGAACACACCTTTTCTGTGATACCTACCTTGTTCAGTAGGGATTTTCCCTGAGGTTGATTCTAGAATAACAGTCTTCAGCTATAGTGACTTTGAATGGAGGAGGTTTCTTCTGATACCAGGGGGACAATTTCTGAATTCATCATTAAATTTAATTCTATCACTATTTCTTGATAGATTATTGCGTTTCTTAAACCCGGCTGAACGAATTTGCTTTCCTAGTTCCTGACAGGCAATGATGTGATAGGTACATGATGGACATTGTTGAGCCAAATGCATTGCATAGCGTTCCTCGGTTCTCAAAACTTTCTGCTAAGCCAACACATTTTGAGTGAAACGCTGACTCATGTCAGCATTGAGGAGAGTTAACACATAACCTAGGTCCTCTGGCCCTGAGGGTCTTTCAAACTAGAAAAAAAAGGCAGATATTTTTTTTAACTTACATCCTTCAGTAACTCATGTAAGTTTATTCCAATGCGTTTCATACTTTTTGAAAAGTAGAGCCTTTTTAGTTATTTTGTTCTAATATTCTACTGTGTGACTTTTAGCTTGTAAACTTTATATCCTGCCACTTTTCAAACTTGGTATACAATCATTTCCCTGCACATATCAACATTACAACTAGTATTTAAAGGTAAAATATTAAATTTATTGACAAACAGTTCAGAACAATGATACTGGCTAACCGGAGAAAACTTTTTTTTTACATGAGTTTTTGTCATTTTTTTAATAGAAATACATGTGGTAGTGTTTCACCATTTATTTACAAGTTGTTTGTTGAGGTTCTATGCAGACATTGTTTGTCATGTAAAGATTTAGTCTATCCCTAGCTTATGTTTATGACTCAGGAATGATGCCAAGTTTAATTAGACTTCTTCAATGACTACAGAGCAGAATTTGAAATATTAAAGTTGGGTGCTACAAAAGTATTTGTGGTAAAGATCAAATAAAAGGCACTTACGTTATTTGATGAGGTTACTGATGCCAGGTAACTTACTTCTAGCTTCGATTCCTTACGTCACCTTTGAATGTTTAAGTGTGACATCAGCTTCTGCCGGGGACTTGAGCACCATATACATTATCATGGAATGACTATCAGTCCGCCACTTCCTAATAAGCACAGCTGGAATGCTGAAAACAACGCTCAATTTAGCCTCCGGAATGCCACCATGCACACGCACTGCCCAGGCCTGTGAGAAGAATGACATGAATTTCAGTGGCTGCAGCACAACTGCTTTCTCCCTTGCTGGCCGAATAATCCTGAAACTAAATGAGTTTGCTGTGCGTTATTATAACTGGATCACCTTTCCACAAGGATTTTCCTGGGAAAAGGGAGACATGGATAGCACGCAGGGGCAGAAGCAGACGAAGCGATTCTAGAAGATGAGGTATTTCCAGGCAGACTAGGTCCAATGGATGACGTGTCCTATGAGACAGGGAGGGACTGCACCAAAGCAAGCCTCATTATTTTTTTTTGTTTTTTGTTATTTTGAACTCTGAAATATTTTTTTAATAATAAAATTTTATTGGGGTGACGTTGGTCAACATGAACACATAGGTTTCATGTGTGGATTTCTAAATTATGAAATCTCTCTATACAGCCCCATGTGCCCACCACCCAAAGTCAAGCCTTCTCCTGTCACCTCATATGAGGACCCCCTTTTCCCCCCACCCCACCCCCGGCAGCCGCCACTCTGCTGCTTATGTTCATAAGTTGCAATTTTCTATCTCACATAGGAGTGAAATCCTTTGGTTCTTGGCTTTCTCTGTCTGACTTATTTCACTTAGCATGATGTTCTCAGGGTCCATCCATGTTGTTGTAATTTGTAAGCATAGGCAGGTCCTGGAAAAATGCATTTGCTCCTCTTTCGCTTGCATAAAGTGTTAAACCAGAAGGGAATTGCTTAAGGATTGCTAACACTATTCTTAGCTACAAGGAAGTTCCCAAGTCGGAGTTGGAGGCCCAGGTTAGTAACGGTTCATTATTGGCCTTTGATTGCCGGGGCTGGAGCCAAAGTCTAAGTGGACTCACTTTTATTTGCTCAAACCCTGATTGTTCTACAGTTTTCACCACTTCCCCTTCTTTCAGGCTCTGCCTCCTCCCCCTCCCCCACGCACCCTCCCCCACCTACCCTGCCTGGCCATGACTCTCTGCCAACCAATCCATGTGTGTTCTCTCCTGTGCACTTTGCCCATTTCTTCAGAACATAATGCATGAAAAAGACATGATGTAATTGGGGGGAAAGTGCTACATTTCAGCTTAAAATGATAAGGAAATATTATAAAAATGTCTCAGGAAGTAATGGGACAGGGAGAAAAATCACAAAAATAATGAAGGGAGAGGGGAATAAAAGATTTGACAGAGCACTTTTATTTGTTTTGACACTTTAATGGAGAGAGAGCCAAGTTTCTCATAAATCTTGTTAACTCGAAATATAATAGATAGAAGAGAGATTATAAAAATGTTCCTTCAAAGGCTCCCAAAAGTTTTTTGAGCTAAATCATAATAATTTCGGACTTCACAAAGTATAGTGTAAATTCAAACTTGGGACATGTGGACAGGATGGACAATGGGATTAAAGGTGGTAGGGTTTCTTGGGCTCATGCAACTGAACTTCTATTCCCATGTCCTCTCTCATCTTCTATATTTGCTACCATCTACCATGCCCTTCCACAAGTTGTCCATAGCCTACAGAGATCATGAAAAGGTTCCCAGGTAGTTTCAAATTCATTCATCCATTTGTTCATTCATTCATTCATTCAACCATCGGTTCTTGATTGATTGACCGCTACACAACACGCACTCTGACTAGCACTTTCCAAAAGGTGGTCAGTTAGTGGGGAAAACAAAAGGGATGATTATTGCATTTTACTAACATAGTGTATTTGATCATATATAGTATTGTGATGGAGATAAACAAAGGAGTCTATGATCATTTAGAGAAGGCAAGAAACTCAAATTGGAATGAGAGAATGGAGTGGGGTAGGGTTGAGAGAGAAATATGGCAGGGTGGTGAGGACATCTTGGGTGGGTTTTGAAGGCTGAGTAGGAGTTGGCCAGATGAGGACAAGGGGGACATTCAAGATTAAGGAAACATCATATCAATAATTAAGCCTATTTTATAACCTGGCTTTTATTTGCCTGAATTGACAAAGAGCTAACTGTTCCAAGCTCATTCTTAAAAATTTTCAATTCGACAAAGAGTTATTTTATCCCAAATAGTCAAAATGTTGATATGTACAAAAGGCTGACGTAGTTCTGTAAAACTGGAGGACTGAAGCCATCGCCCATCTTCCTAACTCTTCCATCGATTGAACTTCCCCAAGCACCACAGGTACAATTGAGTAGTGTGTGTGTTTTCTTCCCTTTCACTTTTCATTTGTATCCCCAAGATTGTCATGATAATTATTCAGTTGCTAAATAATTTTAGAAAAATAGACTAATTGAATGAAGAGACCAACTTCAGTCTACCAAAACAATCTGGATTTGATCATGTTTTCTCAAGTGTATAATTTTATTTTAATTTATTTTATTTGATTGAGTATACTTTTCAAACAAGTTTATACATATATTGACATTGAAAACCAGCATTTAGCTCTGTGTGTCTATGTTAATACTACCCCCTTAAAATTTGAAAGTGGAAAAATTAAGTGAGTACTGATTTTTAAAATATCAAATGTATTTGTTTTTAACTTTGATCAATATTTTATAATCATGTTCCTCAAATTATCATAAAATGAATCCTATTCTAGTTCAATAGCCAAATCCATTCATACTCCATATTTATAGACTGAATAATTTTGTCTTGTTCACTTGGAAAACCAGACTAAGCAAATAAAAAGTTTACCCAGCTAGTGTTTCGCCAGAGAAGAAAATTAATGGGCATCTAATGGACTCTATAAACACATAAGATGAAGTATTCCTTGTTTAAATCCAGGTAAATACTGACACGAAAGAAAGCTTGGATTACTCATTAACTTAGAGCTTGAGAAATATGATGGCTATTCAAAAAACAACAATAAAACCTTTCAAATTAATCCTATCTCCTGAAAGAGCTGTCCATTTAATATAAGAGAATGTGGTTGGTGCACATCCGTGCCAACATTTTGACTATTTGGGATAAAATAACTCTTTGTCGAATTGAAAATTTTTGAGAATGAGCTTGGAACAGTTAGCTCTTTGTCAATTCAGGCAAATGAAAGCCAGGTCATAAGATAGGCTTAACTACTGATAGGACACAGTTCAGTGGATCATCACTTTAAAATGTTTTGTAATGACCCGAGTTGAAAATACTCAGTTATTCAAGACTAGAACACAAGTAGATAGGAGGTACATTTGGAGTGGGGAGAGCTTCATATTCATGAAAGTCCCTCCACTCGATAAAAGAGGACAGAGCCCAGCTGGTATAGGTCAGTGGTTGAGCGTCCAGTCAGGAACCAAGAGGCCACTGGTTCAATTCCCGGTCAGGGCACATGCCCAGGTTGCAGCTCAATCCCCTCTGGGGCGGGGTGTGCACGAGGCAGCTGATGAATGATGTTTCTCATCAGTGATTCTCTCTATCCCTCTCCCTTTCTCTCTAAAAAAATCAATAAATATATATATATTTTTTTTAAAGGACAGAGATTGTCCTTCCTTTAGGGAGCCGATATGGATGGGAGGATTGATGAAAGTCTAGTAAACATAAAACAATGATGAATCCTGCGCTGTGTTGGGAAGGAAATAATGTTTAAGTAGAGCCTGCAGGAGGAGACAGAGCCAACTGTCAAAAGCCTGTGGTTAAGAATGTTTCATAGTCAAGGTGACGGATGAGAGTAATCAGAGCTAAGAAACTGGAGGTGGCCGTGGAAAGGTGGGAAAACCGGGAGGGGGTGATACATCCTTTTCTTAAAAGAGTCAAGATGTGCCTTTAAAGTCCATGAAAGAAGCACTTTTAAGTATTCTTTGACATAAAAAGGGGAATCGGTCAACTTGGGGACTCCTGAGGAGCCGTAAACGAACACACAGTGAATATTGGGAAAAGCTGGTAGGAAGATGACGCGAGATGTCTGCCTTTGTCTTTCCCATCTGGTTATTAAAACCCATGAACTAAATTTGAAAAATCAAGAATTAGAGGCATAAGTGTGTCATCTGGAAATATAACAACAACCAAATGGAAGAAAACTTGTCACCTCTCTGGCCAGCAAACAGGCTACATTCTGTGTGTGTGTGTGTGTGTGTGTGTGTGTGTGTGTATTACTCTTTCGATAGATCGCTGCATTAGTAAAAATAATTTCAGTCGAATAAATTAACTGAGAAAATTGTATGCCTTTTCCCTTGCATTAGCTTAAAACAGAATAGGAAGCCGTTTTATCAAAAGGCTACTATATTAGTGGAAAATAGTTCTCGGCTCACAATATTGGCATCTAGATTTGAAATTTAACTCATGTATGTTTCCAATAATCTGAACTCCATGAAGTGGGTCTGAATATCAAAAGGGGGAAAAAAAACTTGTTAGCCTGTAATTAAACAGGAAATTTTCATCGAAAAACAAACATGAACATTAAATTGTAAAAAAATAAAAATAGAAAACTCTGGCTTAGGAGGCTGGAGGAGGCGGGCGGTTGGTGTGGTTTCCTGGCGAGATATTACCACCACCTAGTGGCAAAAAGTACATTTATTTCCTTCCAGGAATCAAAACTGCACTGTGGGATCGTTTCTTGCAAATTTCCCAAACATAAATGTGCTAAAAGCTTTGCGAAACCTTCGGGAGAAAATCAGTGCCTCTGTTGTGTCGCCTGGAGCTCTCTGTTCTCTGAAACAGCGTAAAGCGTTTTAATCATGAATATGTTCTATGATGAGATCGGTCCTAGTCGATTTTTTTTTTTTACCTTGTCTTTGAAAAGGAAATTCTAGAATAGAACGTTAAACCATTAGTATAAAACCAAGTAAGGAAAGGAGTTTAGCAATAAAAAACAATAACAGTAATTATGTGTGGTGATAACTATGCATCTTTATTTATATTTTATTTTATTTTTTTCATCCCCATTTACCTCCTTATGCCCTTTCATCTCCACCCATCCCACTCCACCCCTGAAATCACCACACTGTTGTCCATGTCCATGATTCTCTCTCTCTCCCTCTCTCTCTTTTTTAAATTTGCCATTTTTAAAAGTCATGTGTTGGGGGTTTACTAATGTAGTCATTCTAACACCAGGAGTAGTTATATCTAAATTAAGCAGTAATCAGTATTAAGAATATTAGCAATCATGGCAGTAGGCATGAGCATCATTGCTCATTTCTTGTGTTCATATCACCTTACCGTGCTTTGTTTTTCTAAAGAAAATTGACCCATTTGTAATGGGAAGTCTGTATCTTTCATTACTTATGTAATAACTCACTTCCCTCTGAGGGCATATCCTTCATTCATTGTGTTTCTCTTCACATCATAGATTGGTGTCCAATAAATATTTTCCAACTTGATGAGTTCACGGCAGCAGTTAAAACAAGATAGTGAAGTATGAGCATTCCTCTGGAAAGTTATTCTTACAAATTTATGCAGCTTCCATTTCTGTAAGCTGAAACATGTGTTTTATATATATTAAGACATCCATGCGGCTGGACCTTTAACCATATATCCTACATAATAAAGAGCTAACATGCTAATTAGACCGGACAGCAGAATAACCTGCCAGAATGGCCAGTGGGCGGGGGGTGGGGCCAGCAAGTCTGCACCGCCACGCCAGCCATGGTGGTCCTGGCACCTCCACTTCTCCATAGGCGGCAGGAGAGAGGGCTGCATGGTCCCAGTCCCGGCACCATACCTGTGGGCAGGGGAGCGGGCCTAAGCTGGCTGGTGGACATCCCCCGAGGGGTCCCAGATTGCGAGAGGGCACAGGCCAGGCTGAGGGACCCCCGAGTGCATGAATTTTCATGCACCAGGCCTCTAGTGTGTGTGTGTGTGTGTGTGTGTGTGTGTATTTTTTTTTAAGTAAAACTAACCTAAACATACTGTCTAGTTAAATAGCTACTTTGAGCTCTTGTTCTGTTTTTCTTGTTTGTAGATTGTCAAGGGCCTCCTCCGAAAAAACAGACAGAAATTCTGACAGAATCCCGGCTTGAACAGAGCTACCCAGAAGGCACGAAGGTCACCTACAAATGCCGCCCTGGGTACCGGACATACGGCGTGATCACCATGGAATGCAAGAAAGGGGAATGGGTGTCCCTCAACCCATCCAAGATATGTCAGAGTAAGTCCGTCACACATCTGCACCATTTACCAAAACTTTTCTTTGCGAAAAGACTGAGTGTTTAATTCTGTAGCAATACTGGCTGAACCATATCAGTGTTATCTTCAGTACAAAACTCAACACCATCTTTATTCTTTAAAAGAGGAAGGTAGCCCGGCTGGTGTGCTCAGTGGTTGAGTTTCAACTCATGAACCAAGAGGTCTCAGGCTTGATTCTCAGGCAATGCCCCTGTTGTGGGCTCCTTCCCCAGTCGGGGACGTGCAGGAGGCAGCCGATCCATGATGTTTCTTTCTCATGAATGTTTCTACCTATCCCTCTCCCTCTCTGTCTCTAAAAATCAATAAAAACATATTTTTTTAAAAAAATGCGGGAGGTAATCTTCCAAATTTCAAAAAGCAAGCATACAGATAAGTTCCACTCTAAAATAATGACTTTGCCATTCTTCACTTTTCCACATCCTCAATTCCATCCTCTAATATAACATCCTTGTCCTGAAATCTTAGGTCATCTCCACCCATCCCACTCCACCCCTGATGGCGAACCTTTTGAGCTCGGCGTGTCAGCATTTTGAAAAACCCTAACTTCACTCTGGTGCCGTGTCACATATAGAAATTTTTTGATATTTGCAACCATAGTAAAACAAAGACTTATATTTTTGATATTTATGTTATATATTTAAATACCATTTAACAAAGAAAAATCAACCAAAAAAATGAGTTGGCGTGTCACCTCTGACACGCGTGTCATAGGTTCGCCATCACTGTCTTAGGTGAATGTGTTTCCCGTGGGAGGTGCTACTATTGATGCCTTCCTTCATTTCAGAAAAGCCCTGTGGTCACCCAGGAGACACGCCCTTCGGTTCATTCGAACTTGCAGAAGGAAATAAATTTGAATACGGTGCCAAGGTAGTTTACACATGTAATGAGGGGTAAGTAGTCACTCGAAAACCACGTGTATGAATTGAGGTCATTGATCACGGATATGGTAAATAGGAATTGTTCTAATTTATATTTGTAAGGTGACTATATTTTTCTATGAGCCTTTTTATAGGCAGCACACACGTAACCCCCAAAATTAAAATCAAGTAATGGAAAGGATGATGTCTGGATACCATGCTCTCTCCTCAATACGGAAAAATTACAATGAGGTCACAGTTCGATTTCCGGTCAGGGCACATGCCCCGATTGCTGGCTCGATCCCCAATAGGGGGCATGCAGGAGGCAGCCAATCAATGATTCTCTTTCATCATTGATGTTTCTATCTCCCTCTCCCTTCCTCTCTGAAATCAAAAAAATATATATTTTTTTAAAAAAGAAACTATAGTTTAAAAAAAGAACTTATGGGTGTCCTGGATTATAGACTCTGAGAGTGATTGTCCCCACCACTCAGCTGGGACTCCACCAGGACTAGATATTTATCAGCAAAAATAAGTCCTTGGAACACACAAGGGCAGCCAACTGAAGTGTTTTATGCTACTGTTCAGTTTTATTGGAGATAGCATTTTGCCTGTCTGAGGGCATGTAAATCTTTGGCCCCGTTGTGAGATCTAATGGTAGAAGGGGTGTGCTACACCCATGGTTTTTGCCCGTAAACTTGATCTCTTGACCCCTTGTCCCCCCTCACCTTCCCTTTGCTGACTACCTGTTTAGCTGGATACCAGCCACTTGTTATGATATTTAGTATGGAGACCCAGCTCCATTATCCTATTAGTAGGAAGCGTTAAGGAGGAATTATGCAGAAAGGCTGGTATTTTGCCTGGCTGGGGATACAGAAACAGTAGCCATTCCTACCCCTTCCCCCCACTCTCCTCACCCCCGTCAGCACATAGACAGTCTTTCTCTCTTCCCCTCCCCCATCTACGCACCCCCCCTCTGGAAGGTTTTGGGGCCCATTCTGTGGAATTCCTGAAAGAGCTTTGGGGGACTGGGCGGGTGTCCGCTGTAGATGGAAAGTGCTAAGCAGGAACCCTGCTTTCTGGGCCAGAGGAGCGGAGGGCATGTTTCCTACCCAGTGACCGCTCCCCCCAAGCCCCCGAGACAGGCAGAGACTCACCCTGGATGCCCAGCTCTGGGGTCGCACTCAGTCCACTGACATGTTTCCTGCCCTCAGAGCATGAGGCACAGACCAGTGAGACTCCAAGCAAGACCAAGTCTGTCTGAGGGAGGCGTCTGTCTGTTGTACTTGTGCGGTGGGCAGAGCGGTTTCCTCATCTGCAGGTGATGGAAGCAGGAGCCTATGGAGAACTGCCCAGAGGCGAATGAAAGGCCCTCTTCAGCATTACCTCCCTGTGGTTACCATCAGGCCTTCCCGTCCTTGATTTTTTGGGGGGAAAACAAGCCTCTGGCACCTTATACGCCGGCAAATACGGTACCTCCCTGTGGTTACCAACAGGCCTTCCCGTCCTTGATTTTTTTTGGGGGGAAAACAAGCCTCTGGCATGGACCTCACATTCTGCACCCGCCTCAAGGAGAGAATTTGAGATTTCAGGCCTGGCTTGCGGAGTTGGTACGATTAGGCAAATTCAGCATCGAGTGGGCGATGTGAGCAGAGCAGACTCAACGACCACACTCTGCAGAGAGTCTTTAGGATGGAGATGGGGACGCGAGCTGAAATAAATCCCACACTAAGGAGTCTTCCCTGACACGATCCTTGATTCAGGAAGAAGCCCAAAGTGAGCAGAAAATGCCACCATCTTGGAGGGGAGGAGAAGTGAGGCTGAAGGAGGGGTAATAAGTCAGCTGTTGGCCACTGTCATGCTTCTGGCTTTAGTTTTGGGGTGACAGTTCATAAAGCTTATTACATTGTCAAGTGCAACCGATGAACGGACTCCATGAGAAAAAAAATAGCATATTGTGTGTGAAATGTAGAGTGCGCGTCATGAACCAAGGGTTATGGTTATCTGCAGTCTGTCCACCTAAGGCTAGAGGGTCTTTCTTAAGAAAGAAAAAACAAAATTTAAGAAAGGTAAAAAGAAATTTAAGAGATAAAAACAGAAAGAGAGAAAGAGTGGAAGAACCAAATGTATATGCTTTTAATAGTCCCTTAAATTGGAGTTTGGACATTGAGCATGGTATCGAATTTAAAGCTGCTATGAACACACAGTAACTCACTCCCCTGCTATCTTTGGTTTCCAGGTATAAAATGATAGGCGACACTAATTTCAGATACTGCGATGCAGACGGATGGACCAATGATGTTCCTCTATGTGACGGTAGATACCATTCTAAAAATACCCAAGATGTTTTTAAATGTCTTACATTAAAATATCCTTCCAGGCTATCATTAAATATTTCCCCTGCAAAGTGTTACTTACGGTTTCTAAAATAGCACAGACAGTCTAGCTGACCTTTTTACTACTACATTGTTTTGTGTGTCAGTAACCAAATAGGGATTCAGCCTCATCTGATCTAATATTTAAAGTAGGCGCGCTTGGGAAATCTAAAACTTGCTTTTCTTTCCTTTTGGATTCTAACCTTTAGAAAGAACGCAAGCATCACTATTTCAAATCCAGGGGATTCTGAGAGATAAACTCAATATTGTTGTTTTTTTACTTAGTGGACTTTATCTCCAGCACACAGCTATATTGAATGCTTCAAGAAAAAAGACAACAAAAACGTTTCATTTCCTCCCATCTTGTCTTGCCGATTTTTACGTCTATATCGGTGTAGATACATATTTTTCAGGGTCAGCTTCCGCATTCTACTAGACAAAGTGCCGTTCCTCTTTCAGTGGTGAAGTGCCTGCCCGTGGAGGAGCCGCAGAACGGGCGGCTCATCAGCAGCGGCTACGAGCTGAGCCAGGAATACACTTTCGGCCAAGTGGTCAGGTTTGAGTGCAAAGCGGGCTTCAAGCTGGACGGGCCGGCGGAAATACATTGCTCAGGCAGCGGCCTGTGGAGCAGCGATAAGCCCAACTGTGTGGGTGAGGTGCTCCTCCTGTCGATTCTCGTTTTTTTCTCATGAAAAGAGGCATCGCAGAAACACTGCGCCTCCTACAGAATCTAAATGGTACTGATGCCAAGTGACATTGATTGAGCACTTACTACCTCCTAGTAATCCATCTGAGGCAGCGGTTCTCAACCCGTGGGTCGCGACCCCTTTGAGGGTCAAACGACCCTTTCACAGGGGTCGCCTACGACCATCAGAAAACACATCTATAATGACATATAATAATTACATATGGTTTTTGTGATTCATCGCTATGCTTTAATGATGTTCAATGTGTAACAATGAAATGGGGGGTCACCACAACATGAGGAACCGTATTAAAGGGTGGCGGCATTAGGAAGATTGAGAACCACTGGCCTAACCAATGGACACAGACACCAGGGGGGTGAGGGCATGAATGGGTTTGGGTGAGGGGGCTCTGGGGGGATAAGGACACATATGTAATGCCTTAATCAATAAAGAAAGCAAGGTGAATGGTAAGAGCGACGGGTAGATTTCTCAAGCATTCAGATCAAACCCGAACTCCTGCTGGGCTGCCTGTGGGACCCAGTGGGACAGGGCTGGTGATCTACGGGAGCTGTGTCTCAGGCACATCCCTTCATGTACGTAACAGACATCTTGGCATCTCCCCACCCCCACCCCCCGCTCAGCCATCTCCTGCAGCCTCCCGCAGATCCCAAATGGCGAGCCCACGTCTCCTAAGGCCTCATATCGAGAAAACGAGAGGCTTCAGTACCGGTGCCTCCCGGGTTACAGTTACAGCGGAAGAGCAGAGACCGTCTGCACCCAGTCTGGGTGGACCCCGACTCCGTCCTGCCAAGGTAACCCCCTCTTTCTCACGGTGTCTGTTGGGGTGCACCCCGTCCCTCCTGCACACGCACTGCACTCTCTGCGCCTCCGCTCATTGCACCACACGTGCTCCCTGTTCTGCGACAGGGAAAGCCCTACCTGCGGAGAGTGAAGGCCTCCCCAGGGGCATATATTCTCCCCAAATTTGTAAGAAACGTGGAACTAACTAATAAAAGACATTTTCAAATAACCTTAGCCGGGATAAGGCACACAATTTCTTCCATCTGGTCTATGCTTTGTAGTGTTGGGGGTCTTAGTTGAGAGTAATTTATCAAAACTTCAGTCTCTGGCCGGCCGGCCGGCATGGCTCAGTGGTTGAGCATCGGCCTAGGAACCAGGATTCAGGGTTCGATTCCCGGTCAGGGCACAGGCCCGGGTTGTGGGCTCGATCCCCAGTGTGGGGTGTGCAGGAGGCAGCCGATCGGTCATTCTCCCTCATTATGAATGCTTCTCTCTCTCTCCCTTCCTCTCTGAAACCAATACAAATATATATTTTTAAAAAACTTCAGTCACTGCATTCATTAAAGGACAGTCTCTGACAAGTCATTTGCAAAAATAATGAAAAGTATCAAGACTGGCTAAATGAAAACCACTTTGATCCCAATTCATCCGTCCCTGTGCGAACTGGATGTTTCTACTGATTCACAACAGGGAGTGCCCATATGGAATTATTATTCTTATACCAAATCTCAATGATGGCTTCTCACAGTAGGAACCATGTGGCCTCACACTTTGTACAGTCTCAGCTGTCACTCTTTTGGACAGAGGCACCGGCCCCGGCAATGTTTCAACAGCACTGTTTACTTTTATGGAGATGATGAGAGTAGGGAATTACAATTTGTCAATGGATGTATGCCCACTGCTTGAAAGCACCCACCAGAAGTTCTTCTATTCCTAACTAATCTAACAAGATTCTCCCAATAGTATTTGGTTCGTCTCTTAGGGAAACGTGTGTTTTTATATACTGTATATCTTGTAGATTTTGACTTCGAACATTGCTGTTAAGTTTAGCTATACTATGAAGTGAAAACTAAGGTAGGTAGACTGGACTACAATGGAAATATGAAAGTATGATAAATATAGCAGGTTAAAGGGAGAGAAAAAATAAGCATTTTAAGTATATATTTATTGATTTCAGAGGAAGGGAGAGGGAGAGAGAAAGAGAAACATCAATGATGAGAATCACTGATAGGCTACTTCCTGCATGCCACACACTAGGGTTTGAGGCCTTACCCAGGCATATGCCCTGACCAGGAATCCAACCAAACGTCCTGGTTTATGGGTCAGTACTCAACCCCTGAGCCACACTGGCCAGGCAAAAAATAAACATATTTAAGGTTCATTTGAGGTTAGTGCCGATTAACATCAAATACTGGAAACATATTTTACTGAACACTTGTGTCTAGGTGATCATATATATTTTCTACTGTTTCTATGTAATTGTTGCTAATATATATGTAAGGACAGGGTGCTCACTTGAATGCCGCTTTGCTCTTTGGAAAGAACAAAAACTGACATTCACTTTATCCTCATGTCCTTGGTGATTTCTGCATAATAGACATGTCCTTTCTCTTTTCAGAAAAAACATGTGACGTGCCAAGAATTGCAAACAGTCACTTCAGTGCTGACAGGAGCACATACAGAGTGGGAGACACAATCAGATACTCCTGCAAAAGTGGCTTTTTCCCTCCTCCCCGGGGAAATACGGCAAAATGTACAGACACAGGCTGGGATCCTTCTCCAAGATGTAGTAGCTGTAAGTTCCCTGCATATCGTCACCTGCTTCTTAATTCTGCATTTGCTTCTCCTAAACTTAAAAATACAGGGGATGTGCCCGATTGGCGTGGCTCAGTGGTTGAGCATCACCCTATGAACTAGACCAGTGATGGCGAGCCTATGACACGCGTGTCAGAGATGACACGCGAACTCATTTTTTTTGGTTGATTTTTCTTTGTTACATGGCATTTAAATCTATAAAATAAATATCAAAAATATAAGTCTTTGTTTACTATGGTTGCAAAGATCAAAAAATTTCTATATGTGACACGGCACCAAAGTGAAGTTAGGGTTTTTCAAAATGCTGACACGCCGAGCTCAAAAGGTTCGCCATCACTGAGCTAGGAGGTCACAGTTCTATTCCAAGTCAGGGCACATGCCTGGGATGCGGGCTCCATCCCCAATAGGGGGCGAGTAGGAGGCAGCTGATTGTTGATTCTCTCTCATTATTATGTTTCCATCTCTCTGTCCCTCCCCCTTCCTCTCTGAGATCAATTAACAGTAAAGTGAATCTTTACCTCCCTGAGAAGGTAAAGCAGAGCCTTCAAGGCAGTCTTTGATTTCCAAAGTCTCCTATTCTAATTAAAAACAAAACCACATTTTTGCTAATAAAAACTTTTAATTTTTTGCTATTCAATGTTAAATATGTGTATCTGTATGTATGAACATACATTTCTCTCACTAATATTCTAACATGTGAATGAAAACATTAGATAAGAACACTATCACTTAACACCAAGTATAATAGTAATTGGTTTCTATATAACATACGCCCCCGAACATACGGCCTCAGACAACAGCCCCCTGTGTGTCAGCGTCGGCGGGTCAGGATTTGGGAGCCGCTTCGCTGCCTGGTTCTGGGTCCTCCCTGCTGCTCCCTGGGATGCGGCCCAGGCCAAGTGCAGGAGCCTCCGCATTCCTCCCCCTGGGCGTCCCCATCAGCGGCCTGAGGGCAGGAACCCGCCCAGAGCGATGACCTGAGGGCCCTGGAGGCGCCTCCAGAGCATGGATGACCTGGTCACAGGGTCCCCTCAGCCACGTGACCTCTTCAGAAGAGCGCCCCTCAGTCCAGCCTCACTCAAGGGAGGGGCCTGGGGCTCCCTTGTCTGAGGGGATGAATGTGGGGGACACTGTGCACTTTCTAAAACCCCACCTGTCACACACGCCCCTCAGTCCACAGGACACTTTATTCCTGGGGGGCTGCCCCTTTTCCAGTGTTTTCTGTCTCTACAATCTCATCGCTGCTCCTTGTGTATCAGCTCATTGGAAAGGGGCCCGCACTTGAGCTGGATCTTCCATGGGTGACAAATGAAATGACACACATGACAGGTCAATGGCTCAGGGTTGATTCAAGGCCAAGGCCAAATGAATATGGACAGTCAGGTGCCTTAAAGAGGAGGCCATGTCCACCGTGACAGAGACCTCAGAGTGCATAACAGTGACAGGGAGAGTGATGGTTTATGTAGATAATATTGACCTACAGAGTTGTGTAACGTTCAGGTGGTCACC